GTGATGGCTCCTCCCCTCCCCGTTGGCCCCGCCCCCTCACCTCTCCCCCAGGTAGTCGCCGATGGCCGTCTTGTTGAGCCCCTCGCCCTTGTAGAGGAAGCGGGCGATCTCCTCGGGCGTGTTGTGCAGCAGTTCGTTCTCCACCAGGAACTGGATCCCCTGTGCGGCGGAGAGAACGGAGCTGGGAGCCCTGGGACAGACCCCGCCCGGCTCCCAACCCCCTGCCCAGGTATCACCTTCCCCTGGGGGAACTGACACTCATGGAGGGAAAGAACCCAGGAGTCCTGGCTCCCAGCCCCGCGGGCGATCTCCTCGGGCGTGTTGTGCAGCAGTTCGTTCTCCACCAGGAACTGGATCCCCTGTGCGGCGGAGAGAACGGAGCTGGGAGCCCTGGGACAGACCCCGCCCGGCTCCCAACCCCCTGCCCAGGTATCACCTTCCCCTGGGGGAACTGACACTCATGGAGGGAAAGAACCCAGGAGTCCTGGCTCCCAGCCCCGCCCCCTGCTCTACCCACTGGGGGGTTCAGCACGTTCGTTACCTGCCCTCATTCGCTTCCAGCCCTTCCACCTCATTCATGGCCTCGCTCAGCTCATCTCTCAGCCGCTGGATTTCCACCAGCAGCTCTTGTTTCCGCCGCCGGATGTTCTCCAGCTCCAGCCGCTCCTCGGGGGTCAGGTCCGGGGGCACTGAGATGGAGGTCACAGGTTAGCCTTATACTGGAGCTCCCCTGCTCTAGGAGCGAGAGAGAAACTGGGGTGTGTGTGTGAATGGGTCTCGACTTTCCAGTGACAGACACCTGCAGTGTGAGGGGGATATGGGAGTGTTTGTACAGGGGTAAACAGTGAGGTGGCAGCTTCAAAAAGATCTCAGCAAACTAAGCAACTGGGCAACAAAACGGAAATTGAAATGTAATGCTGATAAATGTAAAGTAATGCACATTGGGGGAAAAAAATCCCAATTACACATACAATATGATGAGGATTAATTTAGCTACAACTACTCAACAGAGATCTTGGAGTCATTGTAGACAGATCTCTGAAAACATCCACGCAGTGTGCAGCGGCCGTCAAACAAGCAAACAGAATGTTAGGAATCATTAAAAAAGGGATAGAGAGTAAGACAGAGAATATCTTATTGCCTCTGAAGAAATCCATGGGGTGCCCACATCTTGAATACCGAGTAGAGATGTGGTCACCTCATCTCAGATTGGCATTTGAAAAGGTTCGGAAAAGGGCATAAAAAATGATGAGGGGTTCGGAACGGATCCCATACAAAGAGAGATTAAAAAGACTGGGACTTTTCAGCTTGGAAAAGAGGAGACTGAGGGGGGATAGGACAGAGGTCTATACAATCATGAGTGGTGTGGAGAAAGTGAATAAGGAAAAGTCATTTACTTGTTCCCATAACATAAGAACTAGGGGTCATCAAATGAAATGAGTAGGTAGCAGGTTTAAACCAAACAAAAGGAAGTTTGTCTTCGTGCAGCGCACAACCTGTGGAACTCCTTGACAGAGGATGTTGTGAAGACCAGGACTCTAACAGGGTTCAAAAAAGAACTAGATCAATTCATGAAGGAAGGCCTAGCAATGGCTATTAGCTAGGGTGGGTAGGGATGGTGTCCCTCGTCTCCATTCGCCAGAGGCTGGGGGATCACTGGATGATTCCCTGTTCCCTTCACTCTCTCTGGGGCCCCTGGCACTGGCCACTGTTGGCAGAGAGGACGCTGGGCTGGTTGGACCTTTGGTCTGACCCAGTCTGGCCGTTCTGATGTTCTTATCTCCTGCCCACTGCAGAGACGCGGCTGCAGACCTGGC